GTTTATAATATATATATATATATATATATATATATATATATATATATATATATATATATATATTACAGTTCCATTCCACTTTGTATTATTTTATTTATTTATACATATTATTTCTATCTTAAGGCATAGTTCACACAAATTTAAAATTCAGTCTTCATTTACTCACTCTCATGTCGTTCCAAATCTGTATGCCTTCTGCAAAAAACAGAAGATTTTTCTTCTTTCAAATCATTTGGGCCTAAAACAACATCGGATCCCTTTTGACTTTCATTGTATGCAAAACATTTTTTTTTGTTTCTTTGTCTCTCTCAAGTGTGCATAACACAAAAGAGTTGTCTCCAGCAGTATAGTAAAATCTCCAGGGTTTGACATTTGTTCCATTATACCACCGAGCCTAAGTGCTGATTGTGCCAAAACACTAAAGCCTCATTTGCCACTGCGGCACTCAGGGGAGCCATTGGGTTTGAGAGAATGACCGTAGCATGTTAAAGTGGACTGAATGTATGTGTGTGCACTTGTGTTTGAGGAAACTCGTGGTCCGGCTCTGTGATTGTGCTCTCTGTGTAACCCGGCACGGCCCAGCCCTTTGGGACCACTGCTCTTTACAAAAGGCCAGCATGGGAAATGCCAACCCCGCTCCTCCTCCTCTCTCTCTTTCTGAACATTCTTAAGTCCTTGTGTCAGATATTAAACAGCCCCCTCCTAATCCTCTTTCTCTCCCTACATCTCTTTCACACACCCTCCACCTCTCCCTCTCTCTCTCTCCTGCCTCTCTACAGTGCCCTAGTGTTTATACTCTGAACATCTGAGTTCCTAACAAGGCAAACCCATGTACAGTACAGTCCCCACAATGCACTTTCACACCCAATATGGTAGTCCTGATCTTTTATTCTGTGCACATGTGCTGGGCAGCCTGCATGGGGCACGATTGTGTGTCTGTTGTGAGAAAAAACAGGACTGACAATAATAGATGAGGAAAAACAGTCGCAGGAAACAAGCGGAAATGCACAATAATTACAAAGAAACTGCATGTAGAAAACTGCTTGTAAAATGTACTCCAATAATCTTCGTTTTAATTCCAACTTTAAAAACAACATTAGTAGTGTGTTTGACTGTCTAAAAGTAAAACATTAGTAGTGTGTATGACTGTCTAAAAGTAAAACATTAGTAGTGTGTATGACTGTCTAAAAGTAAAACATTAGTAGTGTGTATGACTGTCTAAAAGTAATAAGTATAGTATTTTATGGACACAGCTTAGAAAGTAGTGTATATAGTACTGTTTCTGTACACTGTAAAACATTTTTTTTTTTCAAAAATAGTTTCAGTATTCCAAAATTCAAGATTCAATCAACCTGGTATCTTGAAAGCATGACTTTGTTCTCTAGGACGGTGGGCTGTTAGACATTCTGACTCCCATATGATGTGTATCAGCCTGCCAATCAGATTGGAGCTAGTGATTTCAGGAAGATTTAGTCATTTGTGTGTGCAGTATGCATCAGGTAGTCTTCAAAATATGATTCAGCTAAAGATATCAGAATGCTTTAGAACATATGTGAAAAGTTGTAATAAGTAAAGACATACACACACATATATAATGCTCTATATACCATTTATTATATATTTATTTCATATGAATTATAAGATCTTGTATCCATGTGGAATCACTGTAAAGCTCAGGCTCGTTTCACTTTATTTTACAGGCACAATCCTCTGGAGCAATCTGGGGTTAAGTGCTTTGCTCTCGATGATGGCAGCTCATGAATCACCTTTTTCTGGGGTATATGTTCCTGTAGCTCAACTATTAGAGCATGGCGCTAGCAATGCCAAGGTCGTGGGTTTGATTCCCAGGGAACACACAACCTGACAAAGTGATGAATGCTCAACTTGTGAGTCACTTTGAATAAAAAACCTTTTGGAACCTTTTGCATAACCAGCTCATATCTTCAACCATTAAGCCACACGAGAATGAAACACTCATCGGTTCTTCAAACCGTCTCACATCCGACACACTCCCAAACAGGAGGATCGCATGCGAATGAAAATATCCTGAAATGAAAAAGTCAATAACTATGCGGACATGAAGCCAAAATACTCTTTTTTTTTTTCTTTTTTTTTTACCACTCCTGAAAGGCTCCCATGCATAATTTCAGAGACATTCACTACTTTTCTCAAAGACTAAACCAATGAGTTAAGAAAATAAACACATGTACAGAAATATGTGAAACGAGACTGAAAGAAGGCCATATTACATAAGGTACAGTCCTCTCCAGAATAAACACATATTTTTAAACTCTGCTTTGAAATTCTGGATTTTCCCAATGCCCTGTAGTTCACACTCTTAAAGGAATCATCTGAGACAGAGTGGATTTGTGAGTATGAGCCTCCAGTCCAGTGTTTTTATACTATGACCTGGATTTCAGGCCGAGGAGGAAGACTGATACAGGCTACGTTCCATAGTTAGCTGCCTACATAGGGAGTATTTTAAGGCACATTCCCACCACCAAGGCTGTTTGGCATGATCATACTGCTCAATATCTCATACAGGTTTGCTTATCAAATATTAATAATATAAATCAACACAAAAATGCTGAATAAGATTTTTTTTTTTGCTTAAAGGAACACTCCGACTTTTTGGGACTTTAGCCTATTCACCTTATCCCCCAGAGTTAGATAAGTCCATACATACCTTTTTCATCTCCGTGCGTGCTATAAGTCTGTTTGACACACCCACCGCTAGCCTAGCTTAGCACAAAGACTGGATGTAAATGGTTGCAGCTAGCATACTAATCCAAATAAGTGACAAAATAGCGCAAACATTTTCCTATTTACATGTTGTGATTTGTATAGTCACAGAGTGTACAAAAAACAAAGTCAGATGAGACACAGACATATTTTAACCGTATAAATACTGGGAACTATATTCTCTGAAGGCGAAGCACTGCTACTTGGGCGGAGTGATAACCGCAGCCCCTGAGACGTACCGTACCCAAACTCTGAACGAACTCTCTGCTCCTCACCACGGCGCATCTCAGGTGCTGCGGTTATCACTCCGCCCAAGTAGCAGTGCTTCGCCTTCAGAGAACAAAGTTCCCAGTATTATACGGTTAAAATATGTCTGTGTCTCATGTGACTTTGTTTTTTGTACACTCTGTGACTATACACTTCAAGAAAATCAGTATTTTGTCTTGTTTTGCAGGATAAAATTAGTTTAAGAAGCAAAATTGTACAGAATTATATATGGATATGCACCAATAATGTTTGCACGATTTTAATTTTCATAAATAAACCATTTAATCCTGACTAAATTTTGTTGATTTAAAAATAAAGTAAGATTTTTTTGTTGTTGTGCCTTGTGAGGAAAAATCAGATATCTGAAATATAGGGCAGTATATAGCATGGCAGCTCACTGGGTTTTGAAATAGTTTTAGCCACATATATATAACAAGTTGTAGTTGTCTCTCTCTCTGTGCCATTAGAGGAGTTTGGGAGATATTAGGTGTGGCTTTGGAAACATTTCATCACCTTAGTCACCAAAAAACCCTCCTTGTGTGAAGGCCCTCTGTTGCTGAGGCTCCGCCCCTGTCCGAGGAATGGCAGGTCAGACGTGAGGAACAGAGTGGGCTCTGTGTAAGAAGAGCGGGGACGCTCGCGGCCCCTGTTTGCTGAAGTGTGCTGTACCTGTATGAGCAGGGAGATGGATTGGAATGGGCTCGAATAGGAGGTTCTTTATGTTCTCTGGGCCCCACAGACACAGATAATCTATAACACTATTTCGACTAGATCAGTTTTCTAAATGATTTTTGAGTTAGAATTACATTCTGAAAACAACTGTGATTTCCTTGAATAATATGATACATTTGGAAGCTCTGTATTTATTGCTATGGTGTCTTGATGTGGGTGTTGTGGAATATATTTATTATTTGATTTTATTTTTGATTTTAATAGTTTTTTTATTTAAAAAAGAATTTATTTCATTTTTTATAAAATTTTATTTTGTATGTTTTTTATTTTTTTTTATTTGCAGGTAGTTCTTGATAATTTGTTCTGTGATTTACCAATTTTGGGCAATAAAAACTAAATTCTTCTAAGCTCCTGAGAAAAAAACAAAAAACAAACCCCATCTAAAAAGAGCTTGTCAGTATTTTGTCTGATAAATTGTCAAAGAGCGCAAATTTAGCAAGCTAAAGTCTAAATAACAGTAAATTATCATAAAATCTTACAATGCAAGCATTAACAGTTGTGAATGTACTACAATGTTTATAACAAAGATTTGCAGAAGAATAGCAATTGTCATCCAGTTTTCTGCACTGGTGGTCTATGACTCTGTCCAGAAATGATAATATAAACACTGAGGAAAAACTGGTCTTGGCAAACAGCTTTTGTTGTGTCGAGCATTTGTGTGGAGCATTCCTCCGTTTTTCATGAATTACAGATGATGTTAATTGAAAACCCATAATGATCACTAATCTGAATGATCTCTGTATGATCTTGCGGGGAACATGTCGTCCTCAATGTCTACGGCGGTTACGGCCCTGCCTTTATTCAGCCACTGTGGCAAATACACAGTCTGATATGAAGGGTGCTGTGTAACGTCAAGTTTCTAATAGTACATGTTCTTTGACAGAGAACAGAGTAAACAAGTTTTTGCAGTGCAAAAGGACGATTAAAAGAAAATGTAAAAAAAAGAAAACCATACTGGAAAAGTACTTTTTTTATTATTATTTATTTATGACAAAAAATGCCCCCACTGTGCATACATCCTAGTTTAGGCCCCTGAGTTATGGTAATCAAAACATATATAATAAAATATATTTATATACATTTTAAAATGTACTTATTTGTAAATGTACTTGTAAATGTTATTTATTTTATTTTATTTGGCCTGAAAAAAGCCCCCAATGTGCTTACATTTAGAGTATTATAGTGAACAAAAAGATTCTGAAATGTACAGTTGAATTTCTAAAATATAAACGCAATGTTTTTTTTCTCTGTCTCTGCAGTTTGCCGGCTAGCCTGCCACAGGAAGTGTGAGGTCAAGGTAAGAAACAAAGCATTCTTGATTTGTTATATTAGACACCATACCAGTGTAACATTTGTTTATTTTTAACAGGTTATGCATAGAAAATGAATGTCTGTAACATTTGAATTTTGTTGTGAGAGACTTTTGCTATTCTGTCAGCCTTCAGAATTTCCCTAAATGGTCGTGTCTGCTTGTACAGGTTTGGCTCCTTTTGTCAAATCCACCATCACATTTCTGTCTGGACGCCAAACAAATCTTATCACAGAGGACATTATTTTCCTTGATAGTGGACAAGCCCCTCTGGTTGAGGAAGGGTATTGACATACTTGGGAATCTAAAAAAAAACATCTGCATGCTGTCCCAGGACATGTTTGGCTTGGCCAACTCGTTCCTTGTTCAAGAATACCCTCCCCAAAATGTATCCCCTGACTTTTTCTGTATGATAATGCCGTTTTGTTTTGAAGGGTGTTTTGAGAATGAGAGTGTTTGAGATTAGGAAATAGATGGGGATATTTTGTTCGGCTCAATTTGGCCTTTATTTTAATACTACGAGGGAGATGCCATCTAAGGCAGCATCCCGAACATAAATGGAACCTCAACTGATTTTGAACACTCTACATCAGCCGAAACTCGGGTGACATGACTTAACTCTTTCCCCGCCAGTGTTTTTGAAAAAAAAAAAAGTTAGCGCCAGCATTTTTGATAATTTTCTCAAAGGTTTCATGGCCCCCAGATTATTGTGTTGTATGAATATTTGAATATGCAATATATCAAAAGAAAGAACAGACCCTCAGCTTTTAAATAAAACAAAACAAAAAAGTTGTATTCTAGCTACATGGATTCCTTTTTTATCAACACTTTTCATAAAAAAAAAAACATTTTGAGCAAAAAGCTTAGATTTTTTTTTTTTTTTTTTTTCAAAGACTCCGTCTGGATCGGATTCAGAACGATGATCAAAAAATAGATGGAGTAAATCGAGTCCATCAACAGTAGCTTGCACAGTCCTATAGCTTGTCCTGGGTCGACATTTCATTCAGTAAAGTTTGGCAGTTTTGATTTATATGCTGTTTAATATTGATGATCGTGTTATTTTACAAATGCATGCTTACATGCTATGGCCCTGTCCCAAATGGCGCACTTCATGCGGACTTTCGGTCTCGTGGACTTAAATTGCGCGTGCTCGCCGAGTCTACGAGTCCGTAGGCCGTCCCATTTAGCATTTTAACGCTCTGAAGTGTGCTCAGCAGTGCCCCCTTTGTACCCTTGAAGCGGTATTCCGCGAAGCCCGCATAGATGCAGGCTCCACGCACTTTAACTACCCAGGAATCCTTGCGGAAGGCCAATCAGACAACGGATGGGAGGAGGTTTCGCTCACGGACAATAACATGGCTGAGAAGAAAATATTTAAGTGTAATTATCATTACGGTTTTTATGACAAGTTTATACAAACATTATGATCATCGACCAGTGGTTGATGTCTCAAACATAGGCTAATAATAGCGAGCTGAATAATACGATCGCATTATGATTCATTAAATGAATAGAACAGAATGTCAGGGCTTTACTGAGTCATATGTAAACACAACAACAATAGGCAGCATATTTCCCCGAACCTGTAGCTCCTGTCCATAACAACAATCAGACCGTCTTCCTGTTTCCGGCGTGACGATCGATTCTGTCCCAAAAATACCTCTCAATGCGCCCTCGCGGACTCACACTAAGGGCCCTATAGGTCTGCACTACATGACGTCACCGAAGTGTGGACTCTGAGGAGGTCCACAAGTCCGGAGTGTGCCATTTGGGACAGGGCCTATCTCTTGTTTCTGCTTCTTCTTTGTCAGTGTTTTGATTAAGAGATTCAGTACTCTTTCAGAAGATGCCTAATAGCGCCCCCTACCCTATAACAGTGAAAACACGGAAAGCCGAAAATCTCTGTGAATGGCGGGGAAAGAGTTAAAATGGATTTCAATAGAGTTTGGTGTTGTCATGTTGCTAAACTAACAATGTGACACTTTAATAATCAAGAAATACTAAAATAATGGGTAAAATTGGCACATTTGTATTAGTTTTATTAAATAATGTTTAGCTATGTTGTCTATCTTTTGGAACAGCCTTGGTGTCTATGGCGCCTTAAAATGCTGCCTACGTTGGCAGTTCACTAGATTTTGGAACCGAGCCGCCGATTAGTCCTCTCCATCATCTCTGAGCTCCATATGGCAGCTATTATTGTGCATATTGGTGTGTGTGTCGGGCAACTAGCCCTACTAATGCTGTGCCACTTCTTGCACCCACAGGAAATTCCAGAGGTGTGAAGGGGTGCATGTTTTTAGAAGCCTGTTGAGTTAACTTAGCAGATCAGTGCACACTGGCGTTCAGAAACACTTGTGATTTTTACCGTGTGGTTTGTAGTAACTACAGGATGTCTGGGGATGTTTTTCTCTTGGAGACCATCAAGGAAAGAAAAAAAAACAACAACCCAACAGGATGAGTCATTTTGTTTGATAGATTGCGTCTGATTGGGAGGACAGCTATGTCACCCAGAAGCTCCCTTGATTAAACTGCGATTGCGACTCCAGATCTGTTTAGAGACCTGTAACAACTTCCCTCGCCAGAATCACTGAGGAATTTCCGACCCCATGATCCAAGAATGGACGCAATTCGTTTCCTGCCATTAGATAAAAGATGAAAATAACGATGAATGATGCAGAGCTAGCCTTTGGATTCCTCCCGTTTTTTAAGTATTTATTACGGAAATGACTTTGAAGTCAGTGTGAAAGGCCGTTTGCATTGTAAAAAGAGAGAAAAAAAAAAACTTGGATGTTTAAGTCATTTCAACTTAAATTACATTAAACTGACTCATAAAAAATGAGCTGAATCTTGTATAACTTATAAAAAAGTTGAAAACTACTTAACTTATTTTGATGAGTTAAAGAAATGTAAAAGCATATGTTGTCATAACTTATTGATCATATCATTTTATACAGTGTACATTTACTTACTATTGTACATCATGCATAATTGCAAGTAACTAATCCTAAATCTATAGTAACTATGCAGCTAATTAATACTACTCATTACTTATTTGATTAAGCACAATGTAACTACATCACCTTAAAATAAAGTGTAACCGCAATGTAAGCTGAAAAGGAATGTTGTCGAAGCAAAGCATGTTATTTTTTGATTAAACATTGGTCATATTTTTTATTTTATTTGACAGTTACTGTCAAATCGTTCCAGTAAGAACAGAATTGTGCATTATAAAATTAATAGCCTCAATTTACAGTAGATTTCATGTTGACTTTCCAATTCAAATTCAACTGAAATCCAAGCAATTTATATAATTCAAGCCTTTGTCAGATGGACAGTTTCCACACCAACATGTTATTCCATAAAATCTCCACATCCATATTTAGATAAGACGTGGCCGCTGCGTAACCTCTGCCACTAAAAACAAATGCTCAGACCATTTGCACTGGCCAGACTTGGCTGCCAACTGACTCTGGTCTGATGGAATAATGGAAGAAACGAGACACATGAACACAAATATGACATTGCTAACGGACACAGGATAACGTATCCTCCGACTGAAATACACACAATTATCTGAATTTGGTCCAGGAAAGTTAATGTTTAGTTGCACTGCTAAAAAGTTACATCATGAAGAGTTTTTAATTCATCTTTTTTGACTGGTTTTCCAGTAAAACATATCTAAAAACCCATCAAACAAGATACATTTACTTGAGAAACAACATTGCTTGAGATATCAAGACTTGTTTTTTTTTTATAGATTGCATATGTATTTTGCATTTTTTCCACTTATAAACTTTACAAATATCAGTTGCGATAAGACAAAATACATTCATATTAAAGATATATTCTCTGAAGAGAAGTCTTAATATCTGCTTCTCGGGTTATTTTTAGATAATTTTATTGGTAAGTTAGACATTTTTTTGAAAGCTAAGTGAGCTGGAACTCAAAACTCTGCCGTCTCACAAAATTCAATTAAATCCAATGCAAATTCAATTGAAATCCAAGCAATTTATATAATTCAAGCCGTTGTCAGATGGACAGTTTCCACACCAACATGTTGTTCCATAAGTCTCCACATCCATATATAGATAAGACGTGGCCGCTGTGTAACCTCTGCCACTTTCACGGTTTGCAGTGTGTGTGTGTGTGTGTGTGTGTGTTCACTACTCACTGCTCCTAATGTGTGTGCACTAACTTGGATGGGTTAAAAAATGCAGAGGACAAATTCCGAGCATGGGTTACCATACTTGGCCTTCACATCACTTCACTTCAATAAGAGAAAGGCCCACATCATAAATGTGTCTTAGATAACAGAAGGTTCTGTGGTCAGACAGCTCCAATCACAACAAATTCGCCATCTCCACAGTCTCTTCTTTTCTCATTACGATTGCTCATTTCTGTCAACAGCGTAGCCTGGTTTCACAAGGGGTCGGAAATGACTGCAGCGGTTCACAGCGGGTTCATTGCGCACGGGCTTGGGACAGGTTTAAGCACGTCCGTGAGACTGGACTTGATTTGAATTCCAAAGGCTGGAAAATGAAGTGACAGTCTCTGGGTGATTGTAAATATAGGCAAGTGAGGTTAAGTGGGAGAGTAAATGAATCATTAGACTCAAAGGCCAGCCATGAGCTGTAGAGAGCTAATGTGAGACGCCGACGGCGAGCACGTGTGTGCCAGTGCATGTTGAGGAGGCCAATTATTGGAAATGCCAGAGGAAATCAGTGTGAATTAAAAGGTGTGAGAAAACATCTAGTCAAAGACGTCAGATGCAGCTTCATTGTGTAGTCTGACATGTTTCATTAAGGTGAAATGTTTCATTCCTGTGTATAGTTAGTGTCACTAATGGGAATTGCAAAAATAATGACTATTGGTGGTGGGGATTGGACTGTCACTAACTACATCTTTTGAATCAGTTCATCAAAAAGATTTGTTCATTCATTCATTTAGTTTACCTTTTCTGTAGGTTTTTTTTTCAGTGAGTTGAATTG